CCCAATTTAGCATTGAACTCCTAAAAAAAGCACTCTTCTATGATAGAAATCAGGAGCCTTTTCCACACAGATCTCAGCGTTACTTTTCATAAAAGATTGTTGAAACTGCAGATACATGTGTGAGTCCTGTGGAGCGATTACATGCTCATGACTGGGTCACAAGCATGGCATTTGTTTTGATTAGTGAAACACGTCAACAGGAAATTACTTCATAATGCAAATCGTAGCTAGCGTGTTGCAAATTTGATCTGAAATGACCAAATGACAAAAAGTCTCTTTATTATCTGCAGAAACACTAAAAGGTCAATTGTGTTTTATTTGCAGCTTTGAGGAACCACAACAGTCCTTTTGCTGAAATTTGTGACAGAAGAACAGCGCGTGCACATCAAATAAAAACAACTGGAAGCTCAGGTGAACGACAATAACAAGTTAATATCAAAAAAAGTCAGTGAACCCACGCATTGCTTCTTCCTCCTGCTAAGCTGTACTTATGCAACATAACAAGTGGGTTGAAATGTTGCACAAGTAAAACCTACTGAAGTTTCAGTAACCTTTCTTTGCTGTCTTGAGACTGATCAGACATGAGACATACATCTCATGAATTGAAGCTAAAATATAGATTCTGAAACTTGTCACGTACCTGACCCGTGTGTTCAGTCTCATCCTTGTTAATCAGGTACATCAGGAAGAACCTGCACACAGGACGACATAAAGTTAGATAAAGATCAGAACTGCTTCAAACTTTGGTCATTTTTTTGTTTTTTTGCTGCACTCACAGGTAGTTAGCTAGGTTGTGCTCTTGTAAGGTGTGGGTTTCAAACCCGTGAGGCGTCCGGTCAAAGTAGTCATTCCCAATGCCACAGATGAAGCATTTGGTCTGAAAGAAGAATACGAGGGGATGTTCACATTTCGATACAGACACACCACAGTAGGTCAGCTTACAAGCACTTCCAGTAACATTTAGGAGGCTCTGGTGGCACAAATATTATTATATATAAAAATATTAAAGCTGCATAACTATGTTTTCATTAGTGTATAATCACAGTAATTGTATTAATTATTGGACATTTTTGGCGATTGTCATGCTGCATCATAATTGCTGCATTTGACCCAAATCAATTTAGTGTAACTGGGACTGTAACTTGATGAATGACAAACACAAGTTACTGTTGAAGTTTTAACTCCTTTTCACTTTTAAATATTAAGGTAAAAAAAGTGTGACAAAACAGCATTATAATGAGGCACTGGCCTACAAATCTTGTTCTCCAGATAACAGATAACATGTTTGTTTGACAGTATTTTCAGTGAAAATCTAAATTGTGATGTAAAAATGATCATTCCAACTAATCATGAATCATATCACAATTGCAAAATAATAGCAATATGTTGTTTTTACTGTATTGTCCAGCCTTACACCAGAGGTTGATAGCAGCTTTCACACCAGCCCTAACGAACTGTCCTAACTGGGAAAACCAACCAATTTTCCTCCACATCTATGAATCAGTGTATGACTGAAGGAGGTGTTTCCTCTTAATCAGTTACAGTTTCTCACCTCCATGTCCTCCTTCACCTGCTCCTGCTGGTCTCTCAGCTCACCAAAGGCATCGATGATCAAACCTGAAAGAGGGTGCAAAAGCTGGTCATAGCACTGAGCAGATCTTAACACATCTGAGGCCGATATGAAAACATGACGCGGCTGCTGTATGTGGAGATGATACACGTGAGTCTGTGTTATAGATCTTCTAAAATAAACAGCATGTAAAGATTTTGTACCCTGAATGATGGCCAGCAGGATGACAATGACAAAGAAGAAGAAGGTGATGTCAAACAGGATGCGGTACAGCTCATAGGGGTCTCCAGCTGGGTCCTCCAACTCGTCTCCAATACCACCTCCAGCTCTCACACCCACGTACATGTGGAACAAATAGCACTGCCAAGAGAAAAAAGGGAAACTTACTTAGAGCTTTAGTCATTACACTTTTTTTTAAAAGCTGAAATAATGAGTAGAGTATAGAAGGCAGCTGTATCTTATTCTGTGGTAGGGAAGGAAAATCTAAATTTCATTTTCTTCCTTCATTTCAGACCAAAAAAATGAATAAATCAAGTGTACTTTGTGGCGGAGAATTCAGTGTGCAACTGGAAATTTGGTGTCATCTATTGCTAGAAGACAAAAAGCAAAAGCCTGAAGAGCAAAATATGTATATAATAAGACTGCATTGTGCAGAAAGTAGTTTGAAAAGAATTCAACGAAATATTTAAGTTCACAAATGGAAAAAAAAAGCCTTTACTTGGTCCAGTAGTCACCTCCTGCATTCATACACATCCTGATGAAGGCCAGTTAATCTAAAATGTTCAACCACTCAAAATAAAAGCCTCAGGAATCTTTTTCAGCTCCAAACATTTGACCTCGCTGAGGGCTGCAGCCTTTTTGTACTTCCTCAAAAGGAAGCCATTTTCATAAGTTAACAGACTTCAGAGGTGGTCAGACGTACTGTCATCATGTCGTCACACTTCATGTCGGGTTCATCCTCATCCTCGCTCTTATTGTAGAACTTCCTGAAGAAGTTGAAGGCCACCACGGTGTAGAGATAGACGACCACGGCCAGAAGACCCACAGTCAGCACAAGCTAGAAGGAGATGCGGTTTTTAATAAATATGGTACTTGCGTGTAATGAGACATTTTATTGGACCTTTATTTATTCCCATTGAACAAATGAGCTGCGAGTTGAGGGGGCAGCAGCATGACTGACTCTTGTTTAAATTAAGATTTATACAAGAAGTGTCAGATGTGGTTTTTTAATGGGAAAGTGGAGCACAAAAGAACTGCAAGTATTTCAAGGCCTCTACAGCTGAATTGGGCATTTCAGGGCAACTCTCATCAGTGTATCAAGAAGACAGTTCAACCCTTGATTTACTTTTACCTATTTTACCAATTTATTCACTACTTTCAGCTTATTTATGTCATTTATCCAATACTAATGATCTGATTCTACAATCTGTCAGGGGTGCAAAGTACCCCTGGTTAGGAATTACTGATCTAAACATCTCAACCTGAAAACTATTCTCCTTTCATTAAAATGTATGAGAACATAACAGAAGCACAGTGAGAAGAAAATTAAAATCTATCTTGTGTTTAATTTGTCAGATAAACTAGATATAAGTTTTCATCTGCTCTGTTAAACCTATTTTTTCCACATGAAGTTATTTTCACAGTTTCTCACAAAAACCATTGGCAATAAAGCATGAATGACCCCGAGTCCCTATTAGTCAGAAGTGAAAATGCCTCTTGGATGAGAGGCGGTGGTGATACATCCTCAAGACTAAAACAGCAGATCATATCGCCTATAACTTTTTATTACTAATATAATTCCATTAATTTATTTCTCATGATGTTTATTTGTAGATATCCTGTGACCCGGAGGACTGTGGATCCTCATCAACATACAGTTTCTGTTTCAAAGCTCCATCCTTTTTTTTTCCAGAGGATAATTTCTTGATTTAATTATGTTGATGTTCAGTCGGAATCAGTATGAATCACAATGCTAGTTGTTCTCTCCCTATTATGTATCACAGACCACTTGTAGATGCAGATTAGATTTTCAAGTATTTCAGTGTAAGATGAGGGCCTAAAATAACAGTTTAGCCAGACAGTAGCACACAATTTCTCCATATTCTTCTGCACTCATTACAAACTTCATAAACATTTGCCTTTATTTGTAAGGCATCCAAGTTTGTACAAGAAGCTCAGAAAAAGGGAAAATGGAAGTTACAAGAAAAAGCTGCTCTGCTGTACATTGTTGAGTGTGGGGCGATTATTGTTGATGTGTTAGTCTGTATTTTGACTCCCTCTGCTGGTTGAACTAGTTACCTGCTTGCCGTTGTGAGTGACAGAAGACAGGATAGTACGAAGGGTCTTGAAGCCCATAGCGATGTCCAGCAGATGGGCAGCAAAGAAGAAGTTGTTGAAGTGTCCAAAAATGGACATGGTGGCGTACCAGATCAGATACAGGAAGTACTGCAGGACAAGAAAGGCAACTCATTAGTGTAAAAATGCTCCACACATTTGTATAAAAGGGCCACAGGTCGGAGTCAAACCCAGCAAGGATTTCAGCCTTGATACATGGTCTGCCAGCTCTACCAGGTAAGCTATGCAGCCACCCCAAACTTAAACATTTTTATAGCTTTATTTCCTGCACAGTGGTGTGAATACAAAGTGCTTTTAGTAAACATTAAATGATCTTACATTGTCAGTCAAAACCACGCCAAGTTTCCAGATGTGGTACTTTGTATCAATGGAGCTCAGCCTGTAGATGAGAAATCACAATGTTGAGTCACAGTAGTGGCGTTTCCATCAGTCTATCTGTGCAAACACATGCTCCTATTCAGACACCCAATGTGATATAAAAAGACTATCACTATTTGTGTCTGCATCCGTATTGGAGTATATCCAGCCTTTAGGAAGGAAAGAGAAAACAAGGGTTGAGTTCTCACCAGGAGAGCAGGGAAGCTTCCTTCTCCACAGTCTCTATAGTGGGGTCAAAGTCCAGAGCGCTCTTATCCAGGCCTAAAAGCTCAGCGATGCGTTCAGCTCCATACATGTCACCATATTTGTTGATCACCTACATATACAAAGGGAAAACAGTGGTGAGAAAAAAGTCTAGTCTGTTTTAGAGACCATGTAGTAACAAAGAAGGTTCATTCATGTTTCAGGGTCTCCACAGCATAATGAGTTTAATTTTACAATAATTTCAATACACATAGCACATGTGACTATTACCTTCAAAGAACTGAACACTGCACTACAACAATCATCTAATGGATTCGTCGAACAAAATCTTGTCAAATTAAGTGATTTGGACATAAAAATGTTCTACAACCGAGCTGCCACACCCGACATGAGGTCAGACTCACCTTGCGCTTGATAAATTTGTCCCAGTAGTTACTGGGGAAAGACCTGTAATGGAAAGTAGAATTGTGACTCTGAGCTGAGCTGTGGTATAATAGTTTGATTAAATGCATCTATTAGACGAGACTTTAATAGAATTCTCCTTCAAAATATGATCGTACTGCGCACATAATGTGTCAGCTGGGAAATCATCTGGCCTCAACTATACTATACTCATAGCACATGTTTTTGTCTAAAATGAGAATATCCAGGTAAAAAATGTTGCAGTTAATTTAACCATGTCATGCTTAAATTCTATAAAAAGGCAGAAAATAAGGACAAATTTCCACAGCAACCACTATTTTCCACAGGAAAGGCCTGTTTTGTCTAAACAACAGGGAAGTGTGCATTTATTACAGACATTTCTATTGTCCAAACAACAGTTAAAAAAAACCCATAAAGGATTTGTAATAATATGAGTTGGACAACAGCTGTAAAACTTCACATTAGAGAAGCTTGAATATACAAATGTTGAGTATTATACTGTTGATAAAATCAACTGAATGATTAACTAATCATTCCCAATAGTTGCTGAACCCTCTCATGTGGTGTCATCAGCAATGTGTGAGACAGTTTAACCCTTGACAAACATATATTTTTATAATACTAATGGATATTGGAACAAGCAGGATGAAGTGTTTAATATCAGTTCACTAGAATACTAGGAATAAAGAATGGTTGTTAAATGAATCATATAAATCATTACGACAGTCCGGATTTTAGACTAATGTTAATGCCAGGTGTAAATGAGCCCAGTGACTCACGGGGTGTTGATGACGAGTCGATCCCACTGGCCTTTGATGTCATCGTCAGATGGTTGTTCAGTGATGTAGAGACCGTCGAATTCAAGCTTCCTGGCAATCTCCTTCTCCCTCTTGAACACCACCAAAGGAACCTAGTGGTAAAATATTAAGATGGGTAATTAAAACTGTAACTCACACAATGGTATCGTCTGCAAAGAAATTTGTCTCAGCTAACTGAAGACAGTCTGTTGAAACAGTTATAGTATGATGAAAATACCTACCTTCAGACAGTAGTACCCAAACAAACAGACGAGTGAGATGACAGTGTGGAATATAGCCAGGAAACGCAGAGTTGGTAACATGTAGCCGCTGCTCTCCTGCAGGACAAACTCATCCATGTCGAAGAGTGTGTTCTCATCATCCTCCTCTTCATCCCATTGGTTTTCATCATCCGTGTCTTCAGTTTCACCAGTGACCTAAAGAACACAAATAATATACCACATATACAAATGAATGAATTTCCACTATATTTCTCAAATTTGTTAATAGTTTTGGTTTTATCCTTCAGTTTTCCTAAAAATCCATAAACTATGTTACTAAACTACGTTTTACATGGTTAAATCTAAAGATGGCTTTTAGATGGCTTCTTTTGTTGAATTTGTAGAGACATAATCCTTGTGAGAGAGCGGGTTGTCCACTAATCGGAAGGTTGTTGGTTCGATCCCCAGCTCCTCCCGCCACGTGTCGAAG